TTGAAGTATACTGATACTTCTTGGGTACATAAATAGTTGTTATTGAAGGATTTATTTTATTCTCATTTTGAAATTTGAACGTATTTTTTACATTTTCTAATATTATTATGTTTTTTTTTGTAATCGTGAAGTGCATTGATTTTTTAATATACTTATGTATGTACATATAATTTTCTGGTATTTTGATTTTTTGATGAGGACAAATATAAATTTATTTTTTCGAATGGAAGATAAAAAAACAAAAAAAAAACAATTATAAGCTCGGAGAGAGTGTGGATCGACGTGTTAATCGCTTGCGAACTCAATCTGTTTTAATTGTGCGTACAGTCTACCACGTTTTTCTTCGATAAACCTAAGGGCTTTTTGAGTGGTACCGCGTGTGAAAAATTAAACTATCTATTATAAAATTACATTAAAAACTAGCTGAATAAAGAGACTAGCTGCATACTTTCGTTGAATTTGGTAAGTGATTTTGGCTACTTTCTATATACCTAAAACAAGTGAAGTGCACTTAAATTCTCCAAGTTGCATGCTAAAAAGAAAAAAAAGTTGCGTCTGGTGACGCAAACTAGAAAAAAGGCCAAAATGGCTCGCGAGCCAGCGACGGCAGGTGCAACCTCCACCGATGTGGAATGCGGCACGGCCAAAAAACCCAGAATTTTAGAAAATGATGATGTAACTGGATTCTATGAGTTGTCCAACAGTGGCTTGAAAAAAATTAGTGCAAATTATAGTGAGGTGCCCGGGGCTCCCAGCGACATGGTGACAGAGAATAATGAGGAAAACAGAAAAGTAACTGTGAATCTCAGTTTGGCTGAAGAAGGCAAAAAGGCGGGAAAAAACGAAGAAGATAAAAATTACGCAAAATTGGTGGTGAAATACCCGCCAAATTTTAAGGGGGAGATTTTTGTTCTAGTACATTCTTCTGAATGTCAAGCAATGAGAAATGAAAAAATAACGACTTCTTCAGCCAAATTAAGGATTTAAAAGTACAAGATTTAGATCTAATATATGCCATAGGGAAATCACTTTATAAAGTGACATTTAAAGACGTGTATGCTGCGAACAGCTTTCTGTTAGACAATAGAATTAAAAAAAGGGGACTGAAACCTTTCGTTCCTAGAACAGCTTTAGAAATTTATGGTGTGGTGCGCGGAGTGCTATGATAGTGAATATGATATACTTAAAAATGCGAAATCGGCAGTACCGATAGTGTCGGTAATGAGATTCAAGAGGAAAGACCCAACCAGTGATACATTCATTCCCGCCACAACCTTAAAAATAGGGTTTACATTAAATGACATACCAAAAGAGATCATTTTTGAATACTCCAAACTAAACGTAGATATGTTCATCCCACCGCTGAGACAATGTGCCAACTGCGGCAGACTAGGTCACACGAAATTTGGAAAAAACGTTGTATCGAATGTGGCAAAATAGAATGCAGCAATAAAGACTGCAAAACAAACATGTGCATCCTTTGCGGTAAAAATGGTCATACAGCGAAAGATAAGAACATGTGCCCATACTGGGAGAAAGAATTAGCGGTAAATCAGATTAAAACTATCAAAAAACTCTGAAGAAAGGAAGTTCTAGACACATATTTTCCTAAAAACTCAAATCGGTTTGACATACTGGCAAATGAGGAGGAAATGTTTCCCCCCTTGTTAATGAAAGCGAAGTTGTCGACACAACGGAACACCAAATGAAAATTCAGTAATGTTTTAAAAATAGGACTTGGAAAAAAATCTCAGTCCAAAAATCAGGATTATGTGCGTCCAAGGAACAAAGCCTCTTCAAACCCAGTCTACAATACAATTGCCTATCAAAAAAACATGGTTTCTCAATATGAAAAAAGATAAAAATAACCCAAAAACTAACAATCCAAAGCAATGACACTAATGTTTTTCAACAAATCCAACAGATAAAACAACAATTTGAAGCAATTTTGGTTAGAAGAGACGAGCTTGAGATTAGTGAATCTTTAAATTCAACAAGAGACTCGAATGAAGATTATGCAATATAATTGCCAGTCACTAAAAGCAAACATTGACACAATAGAGTACTATATAAATAAATATAGTATAGAAATAGCCACTTTCAGTGAAATTTTTTACTCAACACAAAGCCAGTATAGGAAAATTATAAATTACAATATAGTAAAGAAGCACAGGAACGATGGTTATAGGCATAGCCATTGCTGTGAAAAAAATTATAAAATTGAAAAAGATTACTTATTATAGTCATAGTGACATAATCATTGTTAGAACCGTAAATTTAGAACCTAACGTAAATTTGTTCCGTATATTTCCCACCCAGCATCAACACAGAAATCTTTAGAGCTGAAATCCAAAGGTTGCTAGATTTTCTTGAATCACACACAAACACTTTCATACTAGGTGATTTCAACGCCAGGGCTACTGCGTGGGGGGACAGGGTAAACTCAGGCAGAGGCAAACACTTGGTGCTCCTTATTCAGGAATCAAATTTTTTTCACCTAAACAACGGTGACTACACCTTTCAAAGAGACCCAAGAATAGACAGTGGTTCTGTGTTGGACCTCTCATTCAAAAACTCCAACTTCACGTGTGCCTGGAATGTGGATACAACTAGAATTGGTGGTAGCCACCATTTTCCGGTAATAATCCAGACAAGCAGCTGTAAAGCCAAAACTTCATTGCAAAAAATAAGCTACTAAAATCCCTAGAGACCTTAGAATGTGACTCAAGTCTTCAAGAATTTCAACATAAAATTCAAGAAGAAATCAAAAATGCCACCTTTGAGTTAAAGGATGGCAAAACACCTAAATCTTGGTGGAATAGCCACCTAGACAAACACTATAGATTCCTGAGGATAGCCAACCAAAAAGCCAAAAGAGTACCTTCCCCAGAAAACTTCGAAAATCTCATTTTGCAAAGGAAAGTATGGAAAAAAGTAAAAAAAGCAAAAAAAAGAAAATTTCATCGAAAAAATTGAGGAACTAAACGCAGGTATAGGAAAAAAGGGCTGGCGCTTTGTCAAAGCGCCGAGAGGCGACTATACCCAGGATCATGTAGGAATGTGGAACAGCGACAATACTTAATCAACTTTTCTTGAACTCCTTGAAAGAGGTCCCAACACAGAGCACACAGCTCACGCTAAACAACCCTACAGAACCTTGCCCCAACTTGGCATTAACTTTCGAAGAAATCAAAGACACAATTCTTAGGAAAAAAAGGACTCAGCGGCAGGAGTAGACCGAATATCATACAATATGCTCAGGCGTTTGCCTGATCTTACTTTAAATAACCTTAAGACTTTTTTAAATGACTTTTTTATTACCAACAAAATCCCCGATCAATGGAGAATAATTAAGGTGGTTCCTATCCCAAAGAGAGACAAAGAGTTAAGTGATTTCCAAAATTTCAGACCCATAGCCCTAATTCCAGTACTCCTAAAAGTAATTAACTCTTGTGTAAAAGAGAGCATATGCCAATTTGTAGAAAATAACAGCCAACTTCCAACCACAACATATGCCTATAGGAAAAATAAATCAGCCGCAATGTGTCTAAACCAGATGCTTCACCAACTAGCCGCACTCAAAAAAGATAAAAAACACATAATTTTATGCACCACAGATATTTCAAACGCTTACAACTGTGTAGACATTAATATTTTAAAAACACAACTCAAATCTCAATATTAATAAATCTCTTCTCCAATAAGTGCAACCATCTAAATCTCAAGTTCAACCCGAGCCGGACAAAAGTTCTACACATTAGTAGAGGCCCAAAAAAAAGAAGTTGGTATAAATATAAATTACACAAGTCTTCCACAAACAAACTCTGTGAAAGTCTTGGGCAGAATTAATAACAGCTCTCTCACGTCAAAAGACCACTACAACAATGTAATAGAAATGTCCAGCAAAAACTTAAACCTTTTCAAATTCATAACCAATATCAAGTCCGGCCAACATCCACAAAAATCTCTGAACATATATAAGGCAATGGTGCGATCTAAGATCGAGTACTGCAACACTACTCTTGCCAACAGTCCCAAATCTGCCTTCAGTAAAATCCAGATATTGCAGAACAAAATCCTGAGAAGATGCCTGGGTGTTACCCCGTCCACCCCAATCCCAATTATATACGCCTTAGCAAATGAGCTCCCTCCATCTGAAAGAGCAATATGGCTCACAGCCAAAGAAATAATTAAACTGACAGCCTTACAAGACCCAATAGTAACTTCAATCAAATCAAACCTGCTCCTAAATTCTAGCTACTCTAATGTGTACAACAAATTTGCAGAAAATCTTGATGATGTTGATGTAATTCCCTCGCATCAACTAGCCACTAATTTAGAAATTATAGGAAAAACCACTCTCACCCATAAAACTGACATGGCAGTCGAATGCATAAAAACCCAACATGCCTCAATTGTTGATGACTATTTGAAGAGAAACTATACCATTAAACCTTAAATAAGTTTATTACAATTTTTTCCAATTTCGCATTGATCGCGTTGATTTTAAATACTCTTTTTGTGGAGTGTATTACTATTTTGTTATACAAAAAGTGTTTCGAACATACATACATGTATGGTTAAAAATTTGTGAAAAAATTGCCAAAAGTGAATTTTAAACTTAAAAATTGTTTTCTAGAAATTCTTATTAAAAAGTTTGCAAGTTAGATGAAACATTGAAGAATTTTCATAATCTTTGCACACATTTTTAAACTTGGATAAATTCGGTTATTATTAGAATATGCACTATACTTCAAACAATGAACATTGAATCAAAAAAATTGCCAAAATTTTAAAAATGTCGCGTCCCTATATATTTTTCCACCACTATACTTGTGGATATTATTTGTTTTTTTTTCATACAAAAAATTTGTCGGACATACATGTATGGAAGAAAGTCCGTGAAAAAATTACCAAAAATCAAATTAAAACTTAAACATTTTTTTCTGGAAATTCTTATTAAAAAGTTTTGCAATTTAGATGACACTTTGAAGAAATTTCAAAATTTTTTGCACAAATTATACTTAAAACAATAAACATAAAATTTACACCACTATACATGTGGATAGGTGAATTTGATCTGAAAAAAAGGCTTTTATTTTTATATATGTATATACGTAGATTTATGATATTTTTGTAGTATTTGCATCCTTTGACATTCAAAAAATTGAACCATTTGAACCGAACAAAACCACCGTTCAGAAATATTCATGAACCGGTTCTTGAAGCGGTACAAGCTTTTCTAATTGGTTCGAACCATTGAACCAAACCGCCCCGTTTTTTAGAGTGGTTTGTAGCCCTGATTACCAAGGACTTCATCGTGCTCACACCATTAGCTGGTGCAATTTTTTCTAAAGATGATGTAGATGACATACTCACAGAAATGAAATTTGAGGTAAGTGATAATAACAAAATATCTCTAATTGCATCCATTAACCAAAGTTGTCAAAGTGGTTGTCAATACTTGACACACAGCAAGTGCCACATTTATAAAATCCAAATACTACAACATTCATGGAGATTCAACCTGGCATTGTGTGGATTTCAATATCCCGGCCATTAAACCCAAACCTCACAAAAAAAGGAATTTCATGTGAATGTGCAGTTCTACTGATCTCAACTAAGACGGCTACTGTTTGCAACCAGAGATTTTAATAACTATAGCAGCATCGCTTTTTATATGGAATCTGGGTTAATTTGATATTCTGCCGTAAGGGCATTACAATCCTCTAGCTGTGTGGTAGTAGAAGTGTTTACCTGTGTCACATCTAATAATTGATATATAAGCGGCTGAGGCGGGGGCACCACTTGAAACTGTTGTTGCTGATGTTGCTGCGGTTGTTGTTGTGGGCTGCATTCGATCGCCAATGGATGTGAAATCTGCAAATGCTGTTGTAGTTGTTGTTGCTTTTGCTGTTGCTGTTGCGATCTGTGCTCTGTCATTAAAGGTTGTGATATATGAATATGTTGCTGTTGCTTTTGTTCCATATGCTGATGGAGAAACACTTCACTCTGTTGCTGTTGTGGATGCTGCACCTGCAGCTGTTCAATATGTGGATGTGGCAGTTGAACCATTTGTGACTGCCCAAAAACTAATTGTGAATGTTGTGGCTGTAGTAGATGCTGTTGCTGTTGCTGCTGCTGCTGCTGCTGCTGCTGCTGTAAGTGTAGTTGCTGCTGTTGTTGCTGGCTACGCTGCAGCTGATAATGCTCAATCGCCCTCAACAACTCAGAGCTATTAAAAAACGTACTATCACCACTTAGCGTGTAGATAAATGATGCATTTGAACTACTGTTGGAACTTGAGGAAGGCATAGATGCTGGTAGCGATAACACCAACATATTGGAATTCGGTGCAGAGAGAGCGACAGTACTAGTATTTCCAGCAATAACTTGTTCGCCCGGAACTGGCGTTGATATATTTGTTGGCAAATTATTTGGGGTTTGATTGCTTGCGGTTGGAAAGCGGATAACGCTGGATGGTGCAGAATATGTTGACAGTTTTTTTGTGTTCAAAGCTATAGGTAGCGGTTGAAAATTATGTGTGATTTGTGGTACAAAATCACTTTGTTTTGTGACTGCCCTTCGTGTAGCAGCGGCCTTTGTAGTTTTAACAGTTTTAGTTTTTGTAGTGCACGTAGATGTTGCTGTGCGTTGCCGAGATAATTTGGTTAGAGGTTGCACAGGTATTGCCATCTCTTGTGGCAAACTGCAAGATCGAAGCATAAGCTGTTCTTCCACTTGAGTGTGTGTACGTTGCAGTATTAATTGGGTTTTGGCGAGTTGTGGTTGCTGTTCCTGTTGCTGTTGCTGCGATTGCACATGTTGTGAAATGATCTCGACTTTAGTATAAGCTTCTGTCGAATCATTGCAATTCACATGTGCCTGCAATGCTTGTTCTTGCGCTAGTTGGCATTCGATTATTGCATGGGTGGATTGAGTTGGCGGCTCTTGAAACTGTAATTTGATTGGCGTCTCTTTAATCTGAGGCGTCACAGTTGGTTGAACTTCTTGCAGCCGCATTTCCGTGCTTTCGCCAAATATAGCTTCCAGTTGTGCTTCAATTTCTTGTTCTTGCTTTATTGGTTGCTCCACGCAAACTTGTGCTAGCTGTTGTTGTGGCTGTGTGTTTGATGATTGTTGGTGCACTGGCGATAGTTGTTCCTTTGCTAGAGTTTGCACTTGTCTCTGTTGCTCTTGCGGTCGCTCTACACTTTTGTCTAACTGCGGTATTTGAGATTCTCCTTGCGACCCTTGCTGAGTCTTCTGATAGCTTTCTCCTTCGTCTCTACATCGCTGTTGCTGAATTGGTGTTTCTAATCGTTGGTTGGTCCCTTGTTTTTGCTCCTCTCTTCGCCAAACTTGTGCTTGCAGGGACGAGCTGGGCCGTTCATTAGTTGATGGATGACTTTGACTATTGGAAATTTGTAAATCAGTAACATCCACGAATTGTGGATTTTCCTGAAGGTGCTTCTTGGTGTCTTGAATGATTCGGGTTACAGCAATTGGAGCATCAGTGTGCTTTTGTTGCTTTGAAGTCTTCGCGCTCTCTTGCTTTACACGCATTAATGGAGGTTCTTGCTGTTGTTGTAACGCCTGCTGATGCTTCGAATGCTTTAGATTTACGTCTGCCTGTTGCTGAACTTTTGCTTGATTCTCCTTCAATCGTGAAATTTGTATTTCAAAAGGCGCATTCGCTTGCTTATTTGTTTTTGCAATATCTTTCCAGATTTGTTGTGGCCCCGATAGTATTTGCACTTCTTGTATCGAAATCCGGTCTGCTTGTTGCTTTGTTTGCAATTTTTGTGAAGATTGTTGTATAATTTGATGCGCTGGCTCTTTTTGCTGCGTTTGCTCTTGTTGCTGCGTTTGTACTTCCTCCAAGCAATGCTCTTGCGACAGTGACCTTTCTTTCTGCTGCTCTTGTTCGCTTTGTTGATGTTGTGTTGTTGTTGTAGCAGCAGTGCTTTGTTGATCAATATTTTCGCTAAATTCCGTTCGGTTCTGAAGTGTGTTAAATTCATTCGATTTTTGACTTTGACTATCTGTAGGTGCTAGCGGCCAGTTGCATAAATTACTTATATCCATGGAGCCGCTCGAGAATAACACATTGACATCATGTGTAACCAAATTTTCGGAATTCGATAGTGGAGCTTGTAACGTTATGTCTTGTGACTGGCTTGAAGCAGCAGTAGTGTCTAAAAGAACTATCTCATCTGGCGCTTGCACACATTCGTAATTTTCCTCATCCTCAGTTAGATTAAATTGCAATTTGTTGAGAGGCACAAGTTTTTCTTGTTTGATGATTTCGCATGGCAGAAAAGTAGTTGCGGCTAGAGAATTTCCAAATTAAACTGGATTTTTGTTAAAAATATGAATTTGAAACTTACGATTTTCAAAGTTTACGGGCTCGTTGCGGGTAGTTGCTTGCAATCCCAAATTTAAATATTCTCCAAGAAGTTTCTCTGTGAAAAAATTAAAAATTAAACTAAAGCTAAAAAAAATTACATAACATAGGAGAGCATAACATAACGTAACATAGTATAGCAAAGCACAACATAACGTAACATACCATAAGAAAACATAAATAATTGATCATAAAATACCATGTTATGAAATAAAAAAAAATAAATATCAATCGCCCCTGAAATCATTTTGAGTAAAATAAAATAAAAAACGAATAAAACTTATTAAAAATCCGTGCCTCTCTCCACTTACGTGAGGTTTGAATTCCCGTCTCAACAGTTCTAGGCATCTTGCAATCCGAAGCCACAGCTTGTTCATCACCTCTGCCTACAACTTCGGTAGTCACATTAGTTGTGCTGGTTTCCTGTACCTGCTCTACGGCGTGCAACCCAACTGATCTTTCAAAAATAGAACTTTCATTATTTTCTGGCGGCATGCTTTGCTCGTTCATTATGCATCTCATTACTTTAGTTAAAATATTCGGCGTATACCATATCCATTTGTCATGGAACCAACACTTCTTATAAAATGACTGTCGATATGGATCAAGAAAAGTATTACTTCGATTGAATTTTTTACCAGTACTTCGATAGTAGTCCCAAATGACTATATGATCATAATTTGTTGTCGCAATTAAATTTCGCCAATGGAATAATTTCGGTGAAATATACTTTAAACCGATTTCAGGCAGTGCAACGTCCTTTGATTTAAGGTACTGAAAGACATCTGATATACGCATATAAAGATTAATGGGCCACACTTGAGGTGATTTTATTGTGTGCTCATAGCAACGCTTTAATAGTTCTACATTTTCATAAATCTCTGCTGCTTCGTATATACGCGTATATTGTTTGAACTCTGGGAAAGACATATTTAGAATACTGGCAATTACTCTGCGTTTTGGACCACTGTGATAGTGTAGGAGATAAGGAAGCGTACATGACTGAAACAAAGTTACATCTTACAGAAATATTACTAATTTATTTTATAATGGACACTTTTCTTACATTCTCAACTTTTGCAAAATACAGATCTATTGCTTGCTGTAAGCGTGCTTGCTCCGCACTATTCATATGCTGACCTAAAACTCCCTGTGTCGCCGTCAATGTTAACTACAAAAATTTTAGTTATTGCAGAAATTATTAAATATTCAAACCATTTTCATACATTTTCAGCATCAGTAACGCATGGCTGTGCGGTCGTGGCTCCATTGGCCATTACAATAGTTTGGTCTGAGACTGTTTCTTCTTCCAATGCCGCTATTGCAGTTTCTGTTCTTGCAGACTCTTTTACTACGCAACTTCTTTCCTGCTTAATGACTTCAATTTCTTCAATCGATATTGCTTGGTGCTCTTTATCATTGTTTACTTGATGCGTTTCCCGTTTATCTCCAAGATCTTGCATTTCCGTATCGGCGTTCCCCTCATCTATGTGTCCAAAATTCTCTACATTCATGGGCTGCGGGGGCTCAACATTGCCAGTACCTAACTGAATCGCACCTTCGGCTACTGTTTCAATGGCTGCTAAAACTTTCTGCACTTTTGCGCTATCATTATTGCTAACTGCTGCTTTTTCTCCAACTTCGTCATTATTGCTCACCTCAGCCGCGCTAGCTTCCTTCTCAACCTGACTGGCTACTTCTTTTGCCATTTCCCTCTCAACTTCTTTTTCTAGTATTTCTCTGGCCTGCTTTTTTATTTGCACTTTTGGTGACTTCCGCACCCAAATATTGTGCAACCAACATTTTTCATAAAATAATTTACGGTACCCATCCAGAGTTTCATTTTCTTTTAAATGTTCACCCTTACAACGATAGTAATCCCAACGCATAACGTTATCAAAATTAGTAGTACAGGCCAGTTCACTCCAATGCAAAAGCATTGGCGTAACATCTTCTAAACTATAATCAGAAAGTGTAATACCTTTTAATTTGAGAAACTCAAATAGGGCGCTTAACGGCATATAAAGATTTATAGGCCATATTTGTGGCTCCTTAATTGCATAATCATAAAATCCGCCCAGAAATTCATCATCATCATAAATTTCTGGTGCATTGTGTATTCTTGTATATTCCTTGAATTCTTCGAAGGTCATTTTAAGAATAACTTCAATTATGCGACGCTTGAGGCCTTGGTGGAAACGTAATGCATATGCAAGTGTATTTGACTGACATGGGAAATTATATTTAAAATAACATTTTCTATGTATAAAGCAATGTGTATAAGCGTACAAAAATAAAGATATATACCTTATCGTATTCACGAAAAAATAATTCTTTGGCGTCTTGAATGCGCTGCCTTGCCAAGTTTAAAGTGGTTGTGTTTGGAGAGCTTACAGTAATGTTAGACAACTCTTCCTCAGACTCATCCAAACACATTTTTTCTTCCACATTATGATCTGATAGATTATGTTGAGTTTGTTTCGTTTGTCGAAAAACGTCAATTTTAATTCTTTCCAATATCTCTTGTTGTTTTTCAACATCTTGGACATGACGCCTAATATGGTTGAGTAATAAATTTGATTCAGCAAGATCTGTTCTTTTCGCAATGAATATTATATTCCTACGATTTATGGTTCTGAATGGACTTGTACTATAAAGTAAATATTCGAGGTAAAAACTTGTCTAAAAATGTATATGTACAAATAATATTGAATACCTTTGTGGTGATAGGCTGTTTGCTTGCGTTTTCGTGGATTGTGCTTCCACCAGCTCGAATTTCTTTGGTTTGACCACTTGACCTACGTGCTCAGCTGGCTGGACTTGGATTGATTTATTGGTATCATCAGAATTCTCTGCTTCTACTGTACTTGCAACTGGAAATATATTGGTGTAGGCATACAGAAGATGCAATACTTCTCTTTTACGACTTTAGCGCTTACCTCCCCCCTTTCCATCTAATTTTGGTATCTGCATTATTTTCTTTTTTACAAACACCGGGCACGCTTTTGTCTCCAGCTTATACATATCACGAATTTGTGGTTGCTCATAAAAATATTTGTAATAATTTTTCAAAACTCTGTCTACCATAAATTGATCGCTCAAGAAGTCGAGGCCGGTAGCATTTTTAATGTCCTCAAGTATGCGTTGGGCGACATTAATACTGTATGTCATTGTTTTAAAGGTATTTAATGTGACAGGATAACGTGCTTCGCTAAGCTCCCCAGGATCCCGCACAAAGCTATTCCAATCGAATTTGTGCTCTGATGCGCAAGTGGTGCTGCAGAAGAATTTCCTTTACACTAACCTTAATTTTTAGTAAACATTTTCTAACCTGGAATCGTGGGGCTCATTTTGACCCGCAACACCATTATTGCTGTCAGTTTTCCTCTCGCCCATTTCGTCAAAATTTTCATCATTCTGCGCAACGAGACAAGCTCCGCGCACCTTGCTTTTGGGGCCAATCTTAACACTCGCCTTGCGGGGCTTTTTACACGGAATATTTGAAGGCTGCGGCGATAAAAATCTTTTAATACTTTGAGTTCTGAAGCTCGTCTTTTTATTTTTTTCCATTGGTGAGATTCGAAAACTACGTAAAATTAGTGAAGCCTAAAAATAAAATATTAAACGCGCCATACTTAGGGATGAAACGATACGAGTAAAAACAAGTACATACTCGATACTTTTCGTTCGATACCAAGTAACTTAGGTATCGATACTTTTGAACTATTCCAATGGGCCTCAGTGATGCCAGATTGTGGGTAATTTCCCTATTTGAGGGATATTTTCCATCAAAAATTATTAAAAGGGACAGAAGGGACATTTCATATTAATAAGGGATTTTCTTTTGACGCAGTTATTGTTGCATAATTGATCAAAATTCAAGATTATTCGACAATCTTACGTAATTAATCGTTCTGAAGATGTGATGTGGAGTGAAATGGTATATAACTGTTAAAAAGTATAAGGACAATTTCGAAAATTTTCTTACGTAAACCAATTCAAGCGCTGAGTAAGAAAGAATCTTTTCAGTTGTAACTGCTATTTCATGTAAAAAGCGGAACAAATTATCTGATGAAATGTTAAATAGCAGTTAGTGAGCAAAAAAATGAAAGTGAAAAATTGAATGAGCGAAAAAAATGCAGAAAAAGGGGTTTTTTCTTAACAGCGGTCGGCCCTCGGCAGGCAATGGCAAACCTCCGAGTGTATTCCTGCCATGAAAAACACCTTCTCATAAAAATACACTCGCCATTCGGAGTCGGCGTAAAACTGTAGGTCCCTCCCCTTTGTGTGACAACATCAAGGGGACCGCACAAATTGGAGGAAAAGCACATATGTGTAAGCGCCAAACTATTATTATTATTTTATATGAATTTTACTTCTTTACTACTGAAGCATGTATATGTTTAAATTCGTTGGGAATTTTGTGGGATAAATTTTCAAGATGTGGGTAATTGAGGGATTTTTTCCCCATTTTCGTGGGATTTTTAACAGAGAATGTCTGGCATCACTGATGGGCCTCCGCACACTGGACTCCTAGTCCGCCTAAAATCGGTATTGTGTGGATCAGAGGGGGACGAGAGTTCGAGTTTACCTCGCTCATTTCAGTCCGCGAAAATCGCGGATTGACGGCGGGTTGACACGCACACATAGACTGCATTTCTTTATTCGGTAAAAGTGCACTTTAGCGAAGATAGGTCAAAATGGACGGAAAAAGTTCGAGAGTGGTATCAATGGACGCGTCTTAACGCCTGTAACAACAATCCGAGACCGGAAATTAACATTTTTAATTAATTAAAGAGTTATTTGCAAAAAACATTTGCACTTTCCACACTGGCTGAATTTCTTTATTCATTCTGAACGTTTGGAATAAACTTTTTTGTTTTCTTATTCTTTAGAACGTTCCTGATGATATGTTAACGTATATTTCAAACACATTCTATTTATTCCGGCTGTGAAATGAGATTATCGGGAATGTATAAAGAACGCAGCCACTATGTTTTGATGAATTTCACGCAAATTAATGGAATAAATGAACTTAATTTAACACGTATTTATTAGTTTTTATACATTTGTGATGTTTTAAGTGTAACTTTCGCGAAATTCTGTATTTAATAGGAATATTCCGATGGTGAAAATCCGCACAACAATCTTGCGTAGTTAATATACCCTGCAAAAATCGTTGGACCATGTAGTCTATTTGTGGTATATTGG